CTGGTCTTGACCTCCTGGGCTCAAGCGATCTGCTTGCCTTGACCTCCCAAAGTGCTGGGATTACAGGCGTGAGCCACTGCATCTAGCCTCCATGTCACTCTAATGTCTTACACTATTCACCACCTTCTTTTTTTTTTGAGACAGAGTCTTGCTGTGTTACCCAGGCTGGAGTGCAGTGGCATAATCTTGGCTCACTGCAACTTCTCCCTCCTGAGTTCAAGCGAGCACGTCTGGCTAATTTTTGTATTTTTAGTAGAGACGGGGTTTCATCACATTGGCCAGGTTGGTCTCAAACTCCTGACCTCCAGTGATCCACCTGCCTCAGCCTCCCAAAGTGCTCGGATTACAGGCGTGAGCCACTACACCCAGCTGTTCACCATCTTCTTACTTTGTTCATAGCCTTAGTCCAAAGCCCAAGCCCTAACTCACTTGCTACTCTCCCTCAACACCTGTTGCAGGATCCATTAGTATCTGTGGCTTACAGTCAAAGAAGCCTCTGTTTCTACTGCTGCAAAGGCAAGAGGAAAACTAATGGAGGTATGTTCTTCTGCCCTAAATTAAAACACGAACTACATTTGCTCACTTAAAAAGCAATTTATACACAGACACACATACACGCACATATAATTGGGGTTAGGATTGGTACTATCTGATTCAAAAGTTAAACAGAATTTGATAGGCTAGTCTGAGAATATTGTCACTACAGGGAAACATTCAAAGCAATAAATGTACTTTGAAAGGATATGTCCAAAAGTTTTCATCATCTATAACAAAATCATTGTCAAATACTACTTACATTCTTTAGAAAAAAGCCTCTTTCTTTTACCCTGTCCACCTTCTGCACCTCCTCCAATTTCTTCATTTTCTTCCTCAAACTAGAAAATGTATATATAGAAATGTCAAATAATTGCCTTGCATTTGATATTTTAATAATAACAATGTTTTTTCCTTTTCAACAGATAGGCCAGAAAGCCTAAAGGAAGCAGAAAAAAAAAACAACAAAAAAAAAACACACACACAAAACCTTAGCACGGAAGGAGCCTAGGTATCGAGTACAATTTCCAACTCATCCAAAAATGGCTTCTACAATGTTCCTAACAAATAATCCTACTGCTTCTACGTGTAAGAGTTACAATGACCATAGGTTTTATTTTTAAACAACTAAGGTGGCCTATTGCTACTGTTAAACAGTTGATACTGAATCAAAGTCTACCTTTGTAGACTTTCAATTAAGCAAAACTAATATTTACTAAGCATTTGCTTATACAGTGCTAAAAACGTTCCTTAAGTAAGCCCGTAACCCTATTTTGTAACAAGAAAACTGATTGTCAAAGTTAAATAACTTGCTTAGAGAGAATGGAGATTTTGAAATCCAGGCTGTCTGACTTTCAATGCATTCTTTTCCCATTACTTCACAGTAAGTACAGTTTTGTTAACAATTGAACTGTTGGTTCATAGTGAGCGCTAATAGATGTTAGTTTTGACCTCTGATGATTCTGTACGTGTTTCAGTGTCTGGCAAATACAGACCAAAATCAAGGGGAAAGGGGTCACAAAATCTACTCTTCCTTCATGTCCTTCCCCACTTTCTAAAATGATCAATCCTTAGGGAGTGAAGTCCCCGAATTCTGTCGGCTGAATTGACTAAGGCAAGCAGATCCGATCCTGAACTCTGCCTCCGCTACTGAGCCCGAAGGAGTGAAGAAAAGTGAGGTTTTGGACACAGACGGTCACTCACTGTGGGGTCTTCTTCCTCATCTGCCATCCCACTAGCCCGCCAACCCACAGCGCCCCGCCGGCTGGCTCCCAGCGGGTTACGCTACTTCCGCCGCCTCACTTCCGGTGACGGGCGGGACTGGAGCTGGGCCTAGCTGACTGAGGCCTGCGGAAGGACGGTGGTACTTTCCGGCCTAGCGGCGGAAATGCGACAGTCTGTAGCGGAGGAGGCCGGAGCTCCTCCCTGTAATACTGAAGGAATTGAAAACTAACAAAGAAAAGGAAATCACGGGCTACGTGGGATGTATCTCGTTGTCACCCTAAATTTGCTACTGCGCATTGAATCACGGCTTCCTGTTTGGGGACTGCGAAGCTATGGATCGTAGGAGGGCTAGCCAGCGGTCCTTTATCTGACATAAATGCTTTTAAATCATTTTAAAGAGTTGTGGTTCCACTGTTTCTAAGCACTATGTTAATTACTGGGGATACTGTGCTTCACCACAAATTTCCAAGAGATGGTGTCCGAAAACTAAGCATTTAAAATTTTGTGAAGGTTTGTTTTTGTGTGTGTGTGTGTTTTTTTTTTTTTTTTGAGACCAAGTCTCACTCTGTCGCCCAGGCTGGAGTGTGCGGTGGCGAAATCCCGGCCCACTGCAACGTCCGCCTATCGGGTTCAAGCGATTCTTCTGCCTCAGCCTCCCGAGTAGCTGGGATTACAGGCGTGCACCACCATGCCCGGCCTCATTTTTGGTTTTTTTTTTTTGAGACGCAGCCTCACTGTCCCCCAGGCTGGAGTGAAGTGGCACAATCCGGGTTCACTGCAGCTTAGACCTGCTGGGCTCAAGCCATCCTCCCACCTCAGCCTCCAAGTAGCTGGGATTACAGGCGCACACCACCAATGCTCGGCTAATTTTTGTATTTTTAGTAGATATGGGGTTTCGCCACATCACCCAGGCTGGTCTGGAACTCTTGATCTCAAGCGATCTGCCCCCCCTCGGTCTCCCAAAGTGCTGGGATTACAAGTGTGAGCCACCGTGTCCATTGGGGAAGGCTTTTGGTCGGAACAATGGTTGGGAAAACCACAGGCATTGGAAGGCCAGAGCTAGGGATATAAAATATGTGTCCTACAGTGTAACAGATGATGCTACATAAAGAAAATCCCGTAATACACACGATTTCTGAATGTCCTGCTGAACATTCGGTGAGTGAAAAGCAATTATCTAAGACTTGAACCTATCTTTGTTAATAAACACAAAGCATTTTCCCACACTTTTAATGTACGTTGAATTTTCTAGGAATGTTATTGCCCCAAAATTGAATAGTAATTTTGTTTTGTTTGGAATTCATTAAGAGTTGTGTACCATTTCAAGAAATAACGTCACCAAAAGCAACATCACTTGTAATAATTTGAATAGTGAATACTGAAAAAAGAACTTTGATTTGAGGAATGTGAGTTAAATTATTAGGCCCTGAGAGGCATTAAAATGAGAGGCAATCACATCCTACTTGCCCCCTTTTGAGCTATGTATTTATGTCTTAAAACTGCTTGCCATTCCACAAGTATTAGTTATAAATTAGCCTAATTATGCCCCACCAGACACTATATCCCACACCCTATAGCTTGATAATGTTTAGCCAATCACTAATCAATGTTATTTTTGTAAACCAATGAGAATTCCTTAAGGACAACTTTGTGTCAGCCCACTCCCCGTCCTCATTATTTTCCTTTAAAAATCCACTTGTACCTGCTGCTAATCTTAGAGTGTATTCCGGGCCACTTTATGCTGCTGAGTTGCAATCCTCAAGTCTGGCCCAAATAAACTCTCTATTTATATTAATTTTGCCTCAGCTTCTTCCTTTTAGGTCGACAATACTCACTCAAATCAGTCTGCATTCAAAGTAATTCTACATATAGGTACAAGCATCTGAAATCTTCATTATACCCCCTAGTGCTCGAGTGTTTATATATTGAAACATATGTTGGCTGGGCGGGCTGGCTCACACATGTAATCCCAGCACTTTGGGAGGCCGAGGCGGGCGGATCACCTGATACAGTTTGAGACCAACCTGGCCAACAGAGTGAGACCCTGTCTCTACTAAAAAATACAACAAAAATTAGCTGGGCGTGGTGGTGGGCGCCTGTAGTCCCAGCTACTGGAGAAGCTGAGGCAGGAGAATGGTGTGAACCCAGGAGGCGGAGCTTGTAGTGAGCAGAGGTCCTGCCACTGCACTCCAGCCTGGGCAACAGTATGAGACTCCATCTCAAAAAAAAAAAAAAAAGAAAAAGAAACATATGTTACTATTTTTACTTTACTTTATATTACCTTTATGCCTGACCTCCTGGACACTGGATCACTGGATCCTGTTAGGGTATTATGTTATTTTCAAAATTATGTGAGTAGGTAGATATATTAGTTATTTATTGTTGTATAACAAATCACCCCAAAACTTAGTGACTTACAACAAATATTTATCACACAGTTTCTGTGGGTCAGCAATGTGGGTGCAATTTAGCTGGGTGCCTGTTGCTCAAGGTCCCTCCTGTTGCAGTCAGGATGTTACCTGGGGCCACAGTCATACCTCAAGTGTTGATGGAGGAGAATTTGCCGGAGTCACTCACAGGTTGCTGGAGGTTTCAGTTCCTCAAGGTTGTTGGAATAAGGGCCTCAGTTATTCACCGGATGTTGCCCAGAGGCCTCCCTCAGTTCCTTCCATGTAATCCACTCCATAGGGCAGCTCACAGTGTGCCAGTTGCCTTCCTCCAGAGGACACAAGTGAGAGAACCCAGAAGACAGAACTCACAGGTTTTTTGTTACCTAATTTTGGAAGTGACATCCCATCATTTCTGCCCTATTCTATTCACTAAAAGTGCAGCTAAGGTGGGGTGCAGTGGCTCACGCCTGTAATCCCAGCACTTTGGGAGG